GTAGATGAAATTGAAATGAATCTGAAAGTTAATAGACCACTTAGAAATAAAACATAGTTTCTAGACTAAAATGAAATCAAGGTGATAGTTAATAGACTAAAAATTGAATTAAGCCATAAAAAAATGGAATAAGCTATTATGGCCCCAAATTGTAATCTGCTCACAGAAGGTAGAGCATTGCTCTGCTATGGAGATTTCCCTTCGACCCTTATTTAGATTTCTGTTTGCTTTCTTCCTTTCCTTCTCTCTTGATCTCACCAGCTCTATTATTCCCCTAGATTTCTAATTCCCTTGTTTTTCTCTATTTACTCCCAAAAGAAAAACCCTAAAAATCAAAAATCAAAATCCCTAAAAATCTCAAAATCCAATATGAAAGCCTTCGTTTTCTTGTTGTTCCTGGTTTTAATCGGTCTTTCAAACTTTTCTTAGCAGTTTCTCACACATGGCTTCAATACCTCTTGTTCTGGGTTTTGAATTTGAGGAGATATCGGAGGAGCAGATGTCCTTCACGGTGGCTGGGCGGATTGTTGTAGTCAATCCAATACATGGCGACAAGGTGTATTGGGTGCTAGCTAAGGCATGGGCAAACTGTCATGATTTTCAGGTAAATGAAATTGAGGAAAATTTCTATACTGTCTCTTTTATGAATGAATATGATCTTAACTATGTGCCGGATAATGCTCCCTGGGCTATTGGGGTTTTCTTTTCAACCTAAAACGATGGGAGGTAGGCACTTCGCTGTTGGATCTGGATTTCTCCTTTGCTCCTTTTTGGGTTCAGGCTCATAATCTGAATGTAGACCAGTTAACATACAGTAATGCTCAGTTTATTGGTAAAAATATTGGTATCCTTATTAAAACTGAAAACCCTATAATCAACAATGTTCTGCAGGGAGGTCTTTTACATTGTAGGCTTTTGGTTGATGTCACTAAACCTTCAATGGCTGGTTTTTGGTCTCAATCGGTTTCTAAGGGCTCTAGATGGATTTCACTAAAGTATGAAAGACTCTGATTTTTGTTATTACCATGGAAGGTTGGGGCATGGTGAACTGATCTCTAGGGAGAAAAGGTTATGTCAGTTCTTGATCCTAGTTAGGGCATGTATGGGGACTGGCTAAGAGCTAAGCAGGTTAGAGATGAGTGTAAGAGTGCTGGAATTATCCATACTACTTTTAAGTGCAAAGATAAGGAGCTGTGCCTGACCTATTCCCCTACTAGGGTACTGAGCAACAAAGGTAAGGGTGCACTAAGGGACTGTCAAGGGTCTGCTATCCCAAAGTAAGCGATTCTATGACTCACCAAGCTCCTAGCTGCAGTCCTAGTCTTGTTCGGAAGGAACCAAAGCATAAACTAGTTTTCAAAACCCTTCTCCTCTGAAAGTGAGCAATTCTGAGGTAAGCAGTCTCAGCCTTTCAAAAACAGCCCAGAGTTTTAGTGAAACTACTGCTTGTTCTTCTGACAATAAGCTTGAGACTATTCCTGTTACAGTCTTCAGTGAAGAGGGCAAGGATCAAGGGGCTGATAGGGGACGAGCTGACAAGTAATGTGCAGGCCATTATCCCTGTTACTACTTGTATTGTGAAAGGAAATGAATCGGGTGCTGCTTACCATCTGGAGCTTCTTGGTGAAGAGGTTGGGGGTGGCAGGAAAGGGGAAGAGGCATGGTAGAGCCCTAACCAAACTATACATGCTCAATTGAACAACATTGTAAAGGGGTTGAGTCTGAAGAGGCCTAAGCAAGACAGCCCGTTGAGCCCTACAATGAAGAAGCTTAAGCCTAGCCAACTTTTGAGGGAGTCATGTGCTATCTCTACCTAGCGCTGTGAGAGGTTCTATTAAGGTCAGTGGCTCTAACAGCAGCTCTAGAAGAAAAAAGAGGGGTCCAAAAATGAAGATAGGTAACAAATATGATGGTTGATGAAGTTAGTTCATGTTCCTGTTGCAAATTTTGATGGTTTTATCTTTGGAAGGTCAATTGAAGCTGGGTCTAGTGGTTGCCCTGAAACCACTGTTCATCCATGAGGTTGCTGTGGTTTGGCAACCTGGGGGTGGGGTCTTCCTAGGCTTGCTTGATGCTATCTTGTGGCTCATATTTTGACCATAGTTATGTTTTTTCTATGTTTTGTGTTCAGCTTGCTGTTAGTGGATATTTTGTTGTTCTCGTTTTAAGAAAGGATTGTTAGTGGTGGTGAAGATGTATGGTTGGAGTTGGTAGAATGGGATGGTCTATTAGAGGGGAGATGGACTGTGGATGAGAGTTTCTCTCCACTTAAGGATGCTGGCCCTTCTGGTAGGCTATGCTGTTCTATTAAACATCATTAAGGTCATCATCAAACCTTCATCTGCTGCTCAGTGGGTGCTCCGTGACAAGGGGTAGGTGGAGACAAGTTGCCGAAGCAGTTTCTCTGGATTAGCAGCTGTGAGTCCTTGAGCACATCTCCACCTTTCTTCTTCTTTGCTTTGAGGAGTGGAACAATAACCAAGCTTGTGATAAGCTACACTGTTGGGCTTGAGCTGCTGACATCCTTCTTGATGTTTCCTTCCTTGCATTTTGTTTTCAATGGTTTTTGGTGTTTCTGTCTGTTTAAACTTTGTGTAGCCACTGCTAGTAGGAGTGGTGGCTGTGTATATGGAGTTTATCTTATTTTTCTGTAAAGACTTTTTATTTTGTTCATGAATACAATGGTTAGTTTTCCAGCCAAAAAAAAAAAGAGAGAGAAAAAACCTATTATGCCACCAATGTCACCAGCAAATCCTCATTTTTAAAAACTTGAAATTTTAAATTTGAATAGTAAGTTACATAAAAGAAAATTGGGAAAAGTGGAGGGTTAATTGGTTTTATATAACTTATTCTAATGCACTAAAAAAAAGGAAAATTACCATGTGATCAATGAGATACTAATAATTTGGAAATTTGGAAGGCGTTAAGTATTTTCAGTTCAAAATTAAAAATGACAAAAACGTGGTTAATGGAATGCTTAAGCTCGTGATTAAGGGGCTAAAATAACAAAATTTTGATTAATGGGGTAAAATAGCAATCGGAGTTGAAGGGCAACCGATCCTAGT